GAGCTGGGCAGTGCGGTTACAAGCGTTCCCTCGCCTGTGTATTGTGAGTGAGTGCGCATTTTCAGCCACAACGCACCGATAACGTTATTTAGGCTGACAATAAAACTTCTCTAAGCGCATTGTCTAGCTCGCCAAAAAAAAACATCGACGTCATTACAATCTCCGTTGCAAACGTTCACTCCGATTGAATAAGTTTTACATTGTATGGCCAGTTTGATAAATGCAACCAGACACCGGGATCGATCTTTAAGATATTATGTGGATAAATGGGCGCGATGGCACACTGGTTATAGCGCGAACTTACGGACCGGAAGGTCCGTGTTTCGAACCCGACCTCTGCCTTTCGATTTCCCCCGCTTAGGCTTGGGCAGCCTGACGGTATCCCAGCCCCCATGCTTCCTTCGGGTGGCATGGCAGCCAGGCACCGAAAGGGTGTCACAGCTGAACGATTATTATCTTTTATCTTGATACATTGTCTAACTTACCTAGAAGAAAACACCATACGGCGGATGCCCACTATATACCCCGAGTTCACGCCTGCTGCCTTAATCATTTGAATCGACGCTTCCGTAAACTTGGAATTTTTGCTTAGCGGGAAAATGAACCGCTAAAACCAGTATAATTAACTGGATAACGTCAAAGCACACCAAGGTTAACATGCCGTCCCCTCAGAATTATCTAGTGTGCTGATAACACGAATGTCTCTTCTGACAGCACTTCGGATATCAAGCACTGGCATGGTCCAGGGAACAAGCGCCGGTAATCTATCTGAAAAGGAGTGAAATTGAGTTTGGTGCTTCACATCTGTGGTTTGAGCGTCAAGAAAATAAATGGAAGTGGGAATGGACCCTAGGGAACATAGGTAATTACAACAAAATATATGCTGAGCGAAATTCAGAGACTCCCTATTCCTAGTGAAGTACACGATCCGAGGAAAGCTTGAATGCCTGTCAGTAGAACTGTTCAGTTTTATGTTGCCTGCCATGCGATAGCAAGTTTGCTCCTGTGGGCTTTGAGAACCTAGTTGGACCTCGAGTCTACTGGCTTTTCTGACCAGTAGGTTCATCATCATCATCATCATCATCATCATCATCATCATCATCATCATCATCATCATCATCATCATCATCATCATCATCATCATCATGCAGGGGGGAGCTGATAAATTAGTGCGTGAATACAGCACTGTAGATGGACTGCTAAGTGCGGAGATTGAGAAGGAAGGTGTGCATTGAAGGCAATAGTTTGCATGCACGAGCGCCATTGAGCGCGTTACTGGGTCAGTGTCTCTAGCCATTGATATGGCACCTCTCGGGGTCCTCATCCAGGAAGATGGCAATGACCAGCTCAGCTGAGTTTGACGGTAAAGGCTTTCATACTTCGCTGCCAAGCCATTGGTTGACCGCCTCTGGCTCTCTTTTACCCTTCACGTTGTTGTGCATTTATGTATCAACATATCTGCACATCTGAAGGAAATAAGTTCGCGTTCAATTACAACGCTCACTCAACAAATATCCTTGCATTAAAGTGCTGCTTTTATAAACCAAACGGTATCAGTGCACTTACCGGGACCGGACGTGCCAATTTCTGTACAAGCTGAAATTCCGAAAACAGTGAAAAGCGATACGAAACAGTGGTGAAAAAGAAGTAACACACTCTAACACCTCCATCTATTTCGCGCCCCATAAGACATATCGCTACGCAAGCCACCGTTTATTTGTTACCGAACTATCTCACCTAGGAACAGACATAAAATACCCTTAGATTCCGTTTCATTGTAACTAATTTCCATTTTTCCAGGAAATACCACGGAAATCTGAGCAAATCTACGTCACCCTCGTGCCTTGAGACAGGTAAATTGAATTGTTGTCTAAGTTTGAGGAGATTCTGAGTTAGCGAAATGTAAGACGTTGAGGCGTACAAACATTCAAGTACCCTTAATCTTGGAATTTATATGGTGAAGTAGACAGCGTGTGGTGTTTCAAACGGGTGGAAAAGACAGCACTAACAGTTTGAGTGCGGTTCGTACTTCCCGGCACTATAGTCGCTTGCGATTGGCTGGAAACATTGAAACAAAAAGCGAATAATAGATTCTGAAGCCCTAAATATAATTAAGCGAAAACCTTTCGTTGTAAAGGAATCGAGCATCAGTGTCAACAGCGATGTCATCATAGTGGTGATGATGATTAAGTAGTCGAATGAAAAATTACTGAGTTGCCTCACAGCAATGCTGTTTTAGTCCAAAATGTATGGAAACATGTCATCGCGGTTCCTTCGTGTGAATGAGGTCCGAAAGTATCGGAACATTATACCGACGCTTCGGCTACTAGACAGGAAGTCATGTATCGCTGATAACTCCTAGTATGGATGAATCAGTAGTTCGATGCTTCTCGGGTTCGCGGCATACACTGATCTCATTCGCAGAATTGAATCTCGTGCGAAATTCCCAGATCCCCTCAGACGACGAATAGATAGAATATGTTAAGAAGAGATTGGAAAAGGTGTTTGCAGAAAGTAACTGCATTTTTCTGGAAAACACGGGCCGTTATCCTTATTTTTAATGCAGTACTATCGAAACATGATATGTGCTCAATGTGTACTGTGTTAAGGTTTTTTCAAAGTGAACTATTGCACCGATGAGAGAATAAGTGGGATCAAGGTACTCCATGCAAATAAAAGTAGCCTTTAGGCCTTACTAAACTACATTCATAGGTCTTCTAAAGCTAACCTCTGCGGTTAGCTTCATGGTTAAATGGAACTTTCAAAAATACATAATATCCGCATGATGGCCAATCTGCTTCTTTCTTACTCCACCGGATAGTTTTGACTCCTTTTCGAGAACGAAACTGGCTTGACATCGTCAAGGACAATGCTTGCATCACACGTCATGATGAGAAATAAACAAGGAGGACATATGTCAAGGCAATACCCATTAGGAACTTGTGATAGCCGGACTCGTTTGCTTGAACCAGAATACCATAAGGGCCTTGGCTCAACTGATCGAATTCATACATGTCCCAAACGCTGGTGCTGACAGTCACATGGGGTGCAAATTATATGAAGTAACCATCCATAAGAAGCAACTGAATCCGTCGTTCTAGCTATATCGTTCTCATGAGAATGGGTCATTACTTCTGATTACACCGTTGTGTTATGTGATATTTATTCAAGAGACTCTGAGAAAGATTCGTTTTATTCGGCCAAACATTCGAGAATCTTGTTTTGGTGAAACCGATCAGACTATAGTCTTCTTAAAGGGGGGATTAGATTCACTTCTGCAAGAGTTTGTGTTATATTGTTACGAATCTATGCACTTTTCACAGGTGTGGTTACTCTGATGATGAGTTGCGATAATGGGGCCCTCGAACTTTGAGGCTGCAAGAGGGAACTGCCAACCCAGCACCTGAGGGTGCGAGGCGTTCCTCTGTTCACGAGGTCAAATTCCTTCTAGTTATACAGTCATCTGATAAGGTGCACTGTTTTCACACGCTACATTCAACAGGTCATTGCTGTATCCGTGACTGGTGACAATGCAACCGTGGTGTCTTTGTCCTCATAACTTCGCTTCTGATTTCAACATGCGCAACGTGTTCCACTTTGTTGTTTTGGCCGGAGGATGAATCTGTTAACCACTTACTTAAAAGAGATGACGATGTATTCAAACGCCCATCAGTGTTGTGAACGACTAAAAACTCAAAACCCACGGCGGGATATTTCCTGTTTCCTTTTGCTATAATTACATATTGTGGATATCCCATTAGGGAACTTTTTAGGCTTCTAAGATAATTTTATCCAGGGTGATTTTGTACATGAAAAAGGGTTCCCACTGGGAGAGCTGACCAAAACACGTGATCAGACTGACGCATAAAAGAGTAGGTGGCATTTGTCAAGCAAGAATTACGGAAAATGACGCCTGGTTCAACGGTACTTTGGATACTGGCAAGCGAACACGGAAGCTCACATTTACCGGGAACTGTACGCTGGATTCATTCCTACTGAGCTAAGACATCCGGTAAGGAAACGCTTCCAGCCACATATACGGCTTTATGATGCAGATTCGGGTATTCATCTATTCTGACGTAACATTAGGATTTAAAAATATGAGCTCAGTGGTGTTATTTTTACACTTGGAACCCTTCAGCTTGCAATAGTAGAAAATCTGATTGCTTCAACTTATTCGTCTTTGATTGTCCAATACCTCCTTTGCACAGCAATAGTAGCATCATAGTAGAAAATCTGATTGCTTCAACTTGTTCCTCTTTGATTTTCCAATACCTTCTTTGCACAGAAATTGAAGCAATTTCAAGTCGGGCGAGGAACGACTGTACGTGTAAATATCATCGTTGTGCGAACCATTCTTGCAAATGTGCCACTCAGTCAGTAGTCACTCAATAATGTGATCAAATAGCGAAAGGTAGGCAGGGAAAACTTACCGAAAATCTGCTATGCATGACTTCCTAGATTGAAGAAAAGGATAAAGAGATTTTGAAAGAATGAGATCAAATGAACGGGTTTGGTGTACACTTTTGTGGAGCACTCTTTGAATAGACTTTTAACTGATTGTGTACCAAGTATGTGTTGATTTGTGCTTGCAGATGTTTCATCACCAATCGTGTGAGCATCATCACTGTGCGAAGTGATGACGAAACTAATGAAATCAATTTGACAAGCTCGGCGGACAGAAAAACAGCCACCAATTAACGGGTATTTGGTTGTGCTGCAGTCATCTCAATCCGGGAGAACATCCAGCATCATCGACTGCCATGGCTCGGTCATGTGCTACGCATGCCAAAACACCGTCTACCGAGACGAGTGTTGTCCTCCGTGTCTCCTTCAGGATGGCGCAAACCGTGAGGTGGACAGCACACGACTTGGCAGAAACGCGTCAAAGAGATCACGAAGAGTTTGGGTGTTGTTGGTGTTGTGCGACTTCCAGGATGTGGTCCCCGTGATCCCGTCTGTGCTTGGCTGGAGACGTTGCAAGAAATGGTGGCTAATCGATGTCAGTGGCGTTCGTACTGTCAGTTTCATTACCGATTGTTTGATTGAGCGTTTGGAGATGTAGGCACCTCAGTATGCTTGACATAGTCCAGCCCCTCCCTCCCCACTTTTTTCTCTTCTCTAAACTGTAGGGCTTTGAAGCATCAGTGCCAACACTGATGTTGCTGTCTCTGATGATGGTACTGAATTAATGCACCCGGATATGAATTTAGAATGTGATTCAGTACTTGATTCTAACACTGTAAATTGTACGGCCAAATTCGTCTGAAACTAAGATCGTCATGAGCATCACTGGAGGTTCTGTTAAGTTTATTTGGTGTCGCAGTGAATATTATGTAGTTTAGATCTGCCATGCTTGGCCGCTGAATGAAGTTTCGCTGATACGGTCCTTCAAATGTTGTTCACACTAGACAACTGTTCGGATCATGGCGCAGTCGAAACTCACGGAATTACGTTACGAATCAGCGCTAACCGGGTCGCTTGCTTGAGCTACGTAGCTAGCGAATTATCAGCAGCGAAGAATAAGCGAAAGCAAACAGCACAGTATATGTCTTCACTTCAAGTGGTTAGATTCTCCAAAACTGACCTGTTCACTCTTCCTATTTCAGTTTTTCATAAGCCGAAACTGTGGGCGTCCTTTTACTCAATTGGTCAAACTATTTCGTTGTTTGTTAAATACATACGAGATTTCAGCGATTTGCAGTCCCACATGCACCGATTATGATAATGATTTGGGAGAAATACGGTGCGCTTGAGGCTCGGTTGACTCCGTACAAACAGATATAACTGATAGCCATTAGATTCACGCGATGAAATTTCACCCGCCTGGGGCTGGGACGAGTCAGGAGGAAGAGGCCAAGAGCATATCCATAGGCCACCCATATCCACTTGGGTGATCCAGGCCAAATTCATTTCGGATAATATTAAGCGTCACGTGGCGTGTAGCACGGAAATTTTTAAAGTCAAAACATAGTGTAGTGGAATGAGGTGTCAGAATCCGACATTTCGGTTGGCGTGAGTAATCATTTTCAAGGACTTGTGAAATCAAGGGAATGCGAGGCAAGTGCATGACTCAATCGCGCCCTCAATGGCACTTGTGCATCCAAGCTATTGCCTTCAATGCATAGCTCCTTTTCCAACCCCTCACCCCACTTGACAGCCCACTGACGGTGCTGGATCGATGCACCAATGTATCATCTCCCGCATGCAATGTGCAGCTACCTACCAACCCCCTTAAATCATCGGGGAACGAAACTGCGGCAGCTACAACCACTGTACGACGAGTACGCGGTTATTACAGCTCACAAGGATGATGATAATGATGACCAAGACATAAGGCGTGAGCGGTGGATTGCGAACTGAGCACTGTTTTGTGTCTACATGGGAATGGCTAGCACTTTGCTGACAAGATGGTGATGATGATGATGATGATGATGATGATGATGATGATGATGATGATGATGATGATGATGATGATGATGATGATGATGA